CTAATGTGGTCATCATCCTGTTCTTAGAGTTAAACCTCATTGGTTCCCTCCCTAACGTGGTCATCATCCTGTTCTTAGAGTTAAACCTCATTGGTTCCCTCCCTAACGTGGTCATCAGACCTGCTTCCAGTGCTCCTGGTCTTTCACCGTCCATGGAGCCAACAGCAGGAAGCCAATCATGGACGGGAGAGGAGCTGCTGTGCCCAATTCAGACAGCCTTTAGCCTTTAGCCTTCCAGGCATTATTATGGAACAGAAACTCACGTATTTCTATTCTATGGGTTCTACTGTGGTTCTGCTATAGTTCTATTGGGTTCTAACATAGTTCTGCTATAGTTCTACTGGGTCATATGAGCAGAACGGCCATCTGATGTAACTTGACTACCAGTCTACATGGACAACAGCACAGGTAGTCCTGGGAGAAGGAGGACACCAGCAGACCGGGAACCAGGGTGATTGACTAGAACACGGTAAAGTCCTGGTGATGCTGAGGGACCATTGATGCCGTCTCTAATCTCCTTTCATTCATCGTTTACGGTCATTGCTGCCATAATCTGGTCCACTCTTATCCTGGTTGGATTCTGAAGGAGGTTTCCTCCCCACTGTATCCCTGTGCTTGTCAGTAATAAACTGCTAATCCACCTGGTTACAGCTGATGTCATTAAATCCAGGCAGCTCATTGGACGTCTTACCTCCTCTCTGAACTGCTGGGCCTGTTCCTCACATCCAGGAAGAGACTCGATGAAATCGGACACCTGTGACATAGAGAGGAAACGATGACATCACACAGTTCAGGTCCCCTGTATGGCATCACCATGGCAACACAAACCAGGGAAGCAGTCATCATTACCCACCTGCTGGACGCTCCAGCACTGGACGGCGTCGGCGGGGATTCTGGCCACGCCCGGCAGCAGCTTGCGGTGCTGCTCCCAGCAGAGCGACAGGTCGCGTCCGGGCTGCGGCGACATGGCGGACAGGAAGACGGACTGATGGAGGGCGGCCTGCAGGCTGGACTCTGCTGAGGGAGACACCAGAGGACATCACGCAGGGTGGGACCAGAACCACCAGGTTCAACCTGATGCTGAACCATCCCATCACTGTGGTTACCGGGGAAACAGAAACCTTCTCTCGCTGCTGTGTTTCCATGGCAACACAGCACAGAGGCACTGATCTAACAATCATCTGACTGTTCTGACTCCGCCTTCCTGTCTCCATGACAACAGAGAAGAATCTGTGACATCACAGCCGGGGTCCGAACAGAAGCGAGTGGACTTCAGCATGAGAGTCGGTTCTGCTCGGGAGGAAGGAGGAGCAGGAGGGAGGGGGAGG